CCTAAGAGCGATGGCCTCAAACCTAGAAGCGATGGCCTCCAACCTAATAAGTCTTTTATAACTTTGATAAAGTCTCCAACGTGGCGCCTGGTGGTGTGGTTGGCGCCGCCCGCATTGGTGTGGTCTCCTCCCAGCTGTCAGAGCCTCGCTCGGGTTAAAAAAACAAACAGAACACTTTAGGTCTGAAATTGTTGTGCGTATATGTGTGCGTGTGTGTTTTTAAAGTTTTCATACATACTTATATATATATATATATAGCTCAGTCCTAGGTTCTATCAGGCCAGCAAAGAAGCACGAGGAGTTTGAGTCATACTCATGTAATGTCACATGTGCCTGAGGCTTCGGCTGATCCGGCGCCTCTCGATCGCAGCAGACTCGAAGCGCTTCTCCTGCTTCTCAGGCTTCTCGGGCTTCTCAGGTTTCTCCTTCTCCTTCTCTTTCTCCTTCTCTTTGTCACCTTGAGAGTTCCTCTTTGCTGGTGGAGGCACATACTTCTCCCCACTGGGCTTGCGCTCTGCGCGTGGCTGTTCCTCTCTCACGGGCGGCGGTTCCTCATGAACCTCCCGAAACGGGGGAGGCTCACGGGGCAACTCCGGGGCTTTCAGATGAGGCTGGACGGGTTCAGAAAGTGTGCGCTCCGGATGGAAGGCATCAGCTGGTGTCAATGGAGCACATCCCACTGCTTTGGGTTGGAATTGCTGTTGCTGCAGCTGTTGCGGGAGCTGTTGCGGGAGCTGTTGAGGCAGTTGCTGGTGAGGCATTTGCTGGGTCAGCTGCTGTGGCAGTTGTTGGGGAAGCTGCTGATGGATAGGGGGAGGTTGCATTGGATGCCGCCCCCAGTCAGGTCCACCTGGGGGAGCAATCGCACCGCCCACCGCGCCGATCGGTCCGGCGCCGATGGGCTGGTGTTGGCGACCTGGTGCGATCCTCGGGTCTATGGGTGGTCCCAGGGTTGGGCCCAACAACCCAAAGCCGAAGCTCACTCCAGGAATGGGAGGCCTTGGGAAAAAGAAGCTGCAGCTTCTACCGTAATCCATTTAGCTCATGTCTCCCAATCTGAAAGCTCAAGCCTCTGACAAAAGTAAATGTCCATACTGACCATGCACTACAAACATCTGACAGGAATCTCAGCTTCTTTGCGTGGTGCTGCATGCATCTGCATGCAAGCTTTACAACTTCTCTACTAGGTGCCCCCACGCGCCCGAAGGTGGCATTGGCGGTGGCTCAGTAGGAGGGGCTGGACGGCTGTAGCCGGTGACCAGGCCTCGCAAAGTGCAAATCTGCAAAGCGTAGATATCGATTTCGATCAGGATGTCTAAAGCTGAGGGAAATGTCCACAACTGCTAAGCTCTTTTCCCACTGCAAGCAGAAACCCCGTGTTCAACTGTGAAAGCCTTCGTACACTGTGTTTGCCGCCTGTTGGCTGATGGTCAGCTACCTTTCAAATTTCTACATGGCAAAGCTGGCCACTTCCAAATGCACAAGGCCGTTTCCTCCAAGAACTATATAATCGTTGTGCATGGTCTGCATGGTGTGGCACAGGAAATGCCACAGTTACTTGATGGCGTTCTTGGCTTGGACGGCTCTGCTTGCACCCCTTGCGGGGAATCCTTCCATAATGTTGGAAGACCCCATGTCATCTTGCAAAAGCCTCTCCGGCGCTGTTTGGCCGTGGGCCCTTGGTTCCGCAACCTCTCGGCCCTCCTAAACCAAACTTAGTGTCTTGTTAGCAAGGCAACCGTGGGCTCTACATCTGACCGCTCACCTCAGGAAACATCAAGCCTGGATTCACTTAGCGTGCTGCTTTGTGGCTCATCTGTGAGAAAAAACATAAGCCTTCTATCGGCGTGTCGCCGACTTGAATGCATACAAGGCAGTTCTCGAACTGAGCAATTGGTGGTGGGCCATCTGGCCGCACAAGCTCTAGAGCTACCAGTAGTCGGCACACATGTTTTTGGCTAAGTTCACTAGGTCACTAGGTTATATACTGTATAAGTTCGGTTTACTAGATGTCTGTCCACTCATTGAAATGCATTCAAGACCTGTGCTGAAGGCTAAAAGCACGGGGCCAGCTCAACAGGAGATGCCAGATCAACAATGTAATGTAAGCTTTGCGAAGGCCTGAACCCAAGACACTCAGGAGTCAGGAGTTTGATCCAAGCAATCTCCCACAAATCGGCTGTGGTTGCCTGGCTCCAAGCATTTTTGGGAGCGAGCTCTGGTCGGCTCAATACTCACTCTACAACGGATGCTTCGCAGCAGTAAGTAGAGCATCTTCGTCGGCTAAATTCACCTGGCATCTGAAGGTCGTTCAAATGACACAGAGGAGAAACACAGGGCCCCTTGCAATGCCAATCTCACCCCAAAAAGAAACAGAAAGGAGCGCTCTGAGCGGCGCGTTTTTGCATTGTTTCATTTTGTTTGTATTTTGTTTCTATATTTGTATTGCGTTTCTATTGATTTTTGTGCCACTGAAAGAATACTATTCTGCCTCAACCCCCCCCCCTCCCCCAAAGGCAATTTCCAAAATTCCAATTTTCCAAAATTCCAATTTTCCAAAATTCCAATTTTCCAAAAAAAACAAAGAAACCAAAAAAAACAATTGTGCCAGGACTTTGCCTCACCCCCTCTTCCCCCCATGGTCTGTGCAGAATTGGTTTTTTTGGTTTCTTTGGTTTTTTTGGAAAATTGGAATTTTGGAAAATTGGAATTTTGGATTTTTTGATTTCCTGGGATGTTTTAAATTTTCAATTTCCTTGGAAGTAGACAATACTACCACTTTCTCTCAATTCCAGAACAGTCTCTGAAACCCTCAGTGATTTGTTAATTAGGGTCTAATAATGCTCCTTCTGCTCCTTTAACTCGAAAATTGGTAATACCTGACATTTTAGAATTATAACCAGTAAAATTGACATCTGCAATTTTTTCAAATGACATACCAATAATGAATTTGTTCTTTCTGTATTGACGATACGAAAAACTTAAACTGTCATGTACTGTATAGCTCTTCTTAAATAGTAAAAGATTTATGATAATGATTGCGCTTCAAATTCTGTGTATTTCTGGGAATTGCTTAATTGAATTTGCCAACTTAAACTACGGGTGGCATCTTGAAAACCTTTGTACCTTGTAAGTCATTTGTATCAGCATTACCAGTATCATTAATTCTTCCATAGATCATAGGATTAATTCCATCTCTTATATACATAATTGTCAGGTAAGTATCGGTTCAGTTCTTCACCACTCCTTGGAGTTCTAAATAAGGTAATGAATGCTCCAGTCAGTTTAGAAGATGATTTTACAATATTCATATTAATTTCACCACCACCAGCATTGAATGTTTGGGTGATTGTGTGATAACAATTTGTAATGTTTCTTATCTTTGCCATTCCGCCCCCTTCTATGTCCTGCCATTCTAACACTCAATGGCTGACAAGTAGCACCAATATAGACATCGTCATTTTGTCATTTAGTATTCTGTAAAATTTTGCCTTGGAGTAATCCACCATAACATTACATATTTTAAGTAAGTTTAAATGTTGTTTTTTAAATGAGTGATTGCGGTTAAATCCATTGCTTATATTGGTGCCGGGATTGATGTTCCAAAGGCCGTTCCCTTCAAAATTGATATAGCTGTGGCTCATTAAAGGGTTAGGTTCTTTCAAATCAGAAGTTACAGCGTAACCATCCAACATTGAAACAATATCGGATGGATTGAGGTAGTCAAGTCTTTTGGGACTTTTGTTCCTTTCCTTTTTGTTTTTATTGTAGGGGTAGCATAGGTTGTTGTAGCAAATGTATTAGGTTGTTCTTGATTGATCTTATTACAGCACTTGCAAGGTTATGCCCAACCAAACGGGTTATTTCTGGTGACTTTTCCAATTCTTCTATAACATGTTTGTATTTCTCACTGTGATTAACATTTCTAGTAGGTACTAATAACAGATCATCCATAATATCCCTTGTTAAAGATCCATCACAACCACCTGTGCCACTTATGTATAAAGTCTTACTTGTTTTGTAAAAAGCACTTGGTGATGAATAGGCATTCCATAAGCCCCTGCGGTCTTCTATCTTCTCCTTGTTTGCTATATTTTTCTCTTCAGCATATAGTGTTCTATGTTGTTTAAAGTGATCATTTAAGTTTCTTGTAAAGTCATTCATTCTATCATTCCAATTTTGGTTCTTTTTTTTTCATAATCACTGTAGGTTTCTTGACTGATCTTACTGAATAACATCTGGGCGCTTCCAGGCAGATCCTTCCAGGCAATGTCAGACACATCAATCATTCTCAAGAAAACGCATGAAAAAGGTTGAAAAATGCTCATTTTCATCGAAAAACGCGCCGCTCACAGCGCTCCCCTCTCAAAAGAAAACCACCATAAACCACCCATCCACATCCCCCCAGTCGTCTCACGGAGTTCAGTTGCGATGGTGCCCTTGTTTGTCGACCGTCGACACTGGTCACGGTCGGCACCGCACCCGGGTGATCACCGAGAGCTTCCCGTCATCCACGGCAGCACCGCCCGCGCTCAGCAGCTTCGCCTCGATGCGCCGCTTGGCCTCGGCGCGCCACACCGGAGGCCAACGACCCCGACGCGGTCAATGAAAGCAAGCGACAGGGTTAGGGGAGAATTGAGTTCAACACAACAAAAGATATGGGAAGACATGTAGTGCCCAAGGAAAAGAAGCTAATTACGTGGGTGTATTTGGGAATTCGACTGAGACTAGCAGCGGCCTTGGTCCAAGGTACATCCAATATGTGCATGTCAGGTTCATGCTTCTTGTTACTAGTAGTAATGCCAGGAGCTACTAGTAGCGTCCTTGCTCCTAGTAGCGATGCCTTTTGTTCCTAGTAGCGTCCTCTTGTTACTAGTAGCTATGCTGAATTCACCATGTGATGTTGGTTGACTTCAATGACTTCAGTCGGGCATCAATGAGCAGGTCTTCAACGTTCCGAGCTTGACCAGATCGAAACCTCGGCCCCCACGAATGTTTGCATGATAGCACTAGTACAAGAAGCTACTAGTAACAAAGGGCATCGCTACTAGGAGCTCCTGGCCCCTGGCCTTAATACATGCTTACTACTAGTAACAAATGCACACATGATGCGACCACTGCGACTGTTGTGCAAACCGACAAAGTGGCAAAGCATGCACCCGCTTTCACAAAAAAACACTCGCACTCTCGGGCGCTGGCTCAATACGAGCCTGCATTCGGCACAACTTTGGGAAATTCCACCAGGCTCTGTGAGACTACAAGCATTTTTGTATCCGCCGCATCGCACACAAAAATGCACAGCAATTCTTCGTCAAAGGCATACGGCGGCATCCGTGCAGAAAACAGCTACGGCTTCCTTGCAGAATCATTGTGATATTACTGCTTCCTTGTACCCTATAATCTTATATTGTTGTTGCTGTGCTTCACATCTGCCCCATGCCCTCCTGCAGGTGAAGGCATAGGGGTACGCTGTCGGCTTCTATACCATCTATCTGCTCGTTAATGCCCAGCCGGCCTTACATTGAGCATCCAACTCTCTAGCCTCCTCTTGAAGATCAAGAACCTGCAAATCCACAAGGCAAGTCCAACTGTGTTTTTATCGGGATTGGCCGACCTGGCATGATTATTTTTAGTACACAAAACTTGTCGTGCTCCATCGGATCTCTGAAAATGGACAACTTGTGCCTCCTGTCGCCATTCTTCACATCTTGGGCAGCTCCGCGCGATGATGTCATCAACTCCCCCAGTGTAGCCTGATGGTGGCAAGCGCCCAGCCTCGCCGAAGGAGAACCAAGGAGAACGCAGCATGACAAAGCCCCAAAAAATCTTCGAGAGACTCGAGATAAATACATTTCTAGTGTTGGATCCCATCCAGCTGTCTAGCCCTCTGCACCCCTACCAAGATTACACAACGTTATAGAAATATGGTAAACTATCAATATTTATATGTGTATATATATATATATGTCAGCAGTCACCCATGGATCAGCCTCGGGCTGGGATTATTAGCAATTGCATGCAATTGCTCTGGTTACAATGGTCGGCGCAAAGGCCTCCCTATTGAGGAGTGATGGCTCGGCACCGCTACATGTGGAAATACGAGACCTCCAGCTGCTGCATGAGCTCCGGCAGAAAGATTGGCGGAATCGTGGTCTGCACAGCCGCAGCCTGCAAGGCACAATTTGGCATCAAACTATTGGAGTTTGCCGGTATTGGCTGGTCGGTAGTTTTACGCCCTACCACACACAAATATGTAGCATAATCAAATATATATAATATAGTATAATATAATATATATATGTATATATTGTAATATACAATATACAGTATATAATATATAATACAGCCGCTCATGCCTGGTGGCAATCTTACTGTCCAAGGCATGCCCCGAATATATAGAACAAAGTTGTCTGTGGCAAAAAACAGCCGCCAGCGGCCACCACATCTCCACTGCGCCACTGTGGACTGCCAGTCTTTTCACTAAATCACTAACTCCCGCGAGCCCGCCTCTGACTTGAGCCGCTTGATTTCAGTCTGCAGCCAAGAGCAATGAGATCGACGCATTCGACAGAAGGGGCAATCCTCATACTCGAACTTATCCTCGGGCAAGGCCGGGTCCAACCCACAATCGGCCGTAAACTACCTTGACCCAGAACAATCCATCACAGTAGGAGCAGCTGGAGCTTGCTCTTCGAAACATTCTCTACGCCATCCGAGCTTCGGCCTGTGCCAAAGCCCAAGGTGGGCGAACATCCTGACAAGAAGATCAAACAAAGGTTGGAGACCATCGCTACTAGGTTGGAGGCCATGGCTTTCAGAAACAAAGAAAAGGAATACATTTGTCTCATGTGTTCTCCTCCATGCTTCAATTAAAGCCAGTCACAACGCATGACGCCGGTGGATAGCTGGTGGCTCGGCAGCTTACAAGTTAGCAAGACATGAGAAGTCAATCCATTTAGTCCGCCTCAGTCCAGGCACCGCAGCTGTGGTTTAAACCTTTAAACGGGTTCTCCTCGTGGCTGATCGAAGGCAGTTGCACACAGCTGGACATTGCTGATGCCACAGATTCTGCGGAACCCATGGTGCCTCCTGCAGAATAATGTTCGTCCAAAGCTTCATGCTGAGCGCCTACCAGCGCTCTGATTCAAAACGTCAAGGTAACAAAATTACACCACCGTAGGCCCCAAACAAGTAGGACAACAAAGAAGCATTCCCAAGTCCACTTTTTGAGACATGGGAGACAAGAAGGGAGACAAACTGGACAGAATGACGGCACAATGAGAAGAGAGACAAGACTGGAGACAAAAGGAAGCAGAAGAAAAACAAGACGCACACAAATGAATAGAAATGCTGCATGGCCAGCGGAAAAGGGCGGACACCAGCAGTGCAGGCACCGAACCTGGGAGACAAAAGTAAAGAAATCACCTGCGGAACACAAGAATAGAAATGCTGCACGGCCAGCGGAAAAGGGCGGACACCAACAGTGACAGAAAGGGCGGACACATCTCAAGAAAGAATTGAGAACCCCTGAACCCCTAACAATAAACTGTTTGAGGAATTCTCCGGGCAAAAAAAGAAAACAGTGTAAAGCCACATACGACGAATCCGAGAATTGATGAATTGAGAGGGAAAAGTAGAGGGAGTAGTCTAAGCACCCGCGAGCAGGGGAAGAGCAAGTGGAAGCCAAACGCGTTCCAGGATCAGAGGGGAAGAGCAAGCAGACATCAAAGAGGAAAGAGAAGGGGGTGAATAACCGGTTGGGAGCGTGAGTGGTTCAGTGTGTCAAAAAGGGCCACCGAAAAGCAGCAAACAGAGCAAGCGCAGGTCGGACCTTTTCTTTCTCTGGGCATGTGCGAGCGGGCGTCGCGGATCCGCAGACGGAACCGGGTGTCGCGAAGTCTGCACTTCTAGGTTCGCAAATTGCTGCGCCTGCCCCGAAGTCAGCATTTCAAATTTCACAAAGTGCTGCGCCTGCTGCGAAATCTGCACTTCGAGGTTCACAGTGCTTCACAAAGTGCTGCGCCTGCCACGAAATCTGCACTTCAAGATTCACATGCGGCAGCCCTGACAAGGCGCTTCGCCGCAAGAACACCTCCAAAGGCAACACAGATGCCAAAACGCAGCTTTCGCGCGAAACTTCCCCCGACTTTTGAAAACGATCCACGTGTAGAAAAGTCACGACTCACTGCACCTGTCACGAATTTAGAGCGGCCGGAGACCACCATCATGTACAAAGTGCTGCTGCACCTGCCACGAAATTTGCATTTCGATGTAAAACCGCTCCGACCCCTTGCACCTGTTGCGAAAAGTCCACTTTGGACGAGGTTTCCCTTGCGCCTGCCACGGACAAATAACCACGATGTCCGAAAATGCGCACGGCACCACAACGAGAGCGCAGTCGCGGCAAGTCGACCTGTCGTTTCTTCGTCGATCTTTTTCGCTACTTTTCTTCGGTCAGACCGTCCATATGGGATCAACCTTGAAGCAAAGGGGACATCTTATACTGCGCGGCCTCACTAACACACACTTTCCAAGCCAGGTCCTTCAAATCTTCAAATGTCAAGGCGTCAAACCGCGGCAGCACGCCATGTGGCAGTGCTCAAGCACACGTTTGTCAAGTTGTAACGAAAACCTGGGCTAACCTTCCAAACTATGACTATTGCAATAATCCAACTCCATCTTAGATCTTTGCTTGGAACTTGTCCTTTCTACAGTACCATTTGTTCCAGGCAGCTTCGCTTGCCCTGAGCATAAGCCACAGAAACCGGCAGTCGACACATGTGCAATGACAAGCACGTGATCCTTCTCCAAGAACACCGAGAAGCAGTGCAGTGGCGTTAGCAAACACAACCGGCAGTTTACAGGCCTGGTGGCGCACGCTGCGACATAGCCACCATCGTCTCCTGAATCCAGAGCCCTCTTCCTCACATCTCTTGAGATAGTTTATTGGGGAAGGAATTTGGCCCACTCATCCTAGATCTGTGATGGTGCTGCAAAAGTGCTTATATACTGTCTCACATAGGCAAGTGGTAAGTCGAGGTGGTCCCACTCAATGTATATAAGGGGAAAGCGTCTCATCGTACCCAACCGATGATGACCACAGCAACGACCCACCACGCCCCGACCTCTGGGGAGAGGAGTCCAAAGGCTTGACCCTCAGCTCTGCAGCTTGGTGGCAAAACCAAAAGGAGAGGGCTCAGCTTTCTCTCTTTCTGCTTGATCGTTGGAACTTTAAAGCAGCTGGCATTTCTTAAAGATTTCTTCTATCACAACTCGTTCATCTCGTTTAAAATGCAACCGTCCCGGACTCCACCTTTGGAGTTTCAATTGGATCCATGTCCAAGACCGCGACTCCAGGAATGAACGGCGGTGCATTGGGATTGGGTCCGGTGGGTTCTGCCATGGCCTCAACAAGATACGAAACAAAATTTGGAGTGCTTTGCTTCCATTCACTTCCAACACCTTGCTTCCGAAATCTGAGCAACAGTAGTTATTGGTTGGTCACACATTAGTGCGTTGAAGGTTTCTTGATGTGTAACTTCAAAGGCGACTTTGTGCAGCGGAGATTCTGTGCGTCCGGTCTGACCAAGCGGAATGGAGTGCTGTGATGCAGGCAGGAAGCGTTTGCAGACTGCTGAAGTTGGTTGGCCAATGTGATTCATGTCTAGAGTCTATAGTCAGAAGTGGGCTGGAAAGGGTCTGGGAGATGCAATTCTTGGATTCATCAATCATATGATTCTGTAAGGTGCAAGGTGCGGCTGGTTCTCGTGTCCCGGGCAGTCCAGGCTGTTACTGTAGTTAGTGCAAGCGTTAGAGCCTAACCTATTTTTGGAAACGTTTCAGGCAAAAGGAAAAGCATAACAAAGGGCTTGTGCTAGCTGCTACAAGCGTGCTACTCCTGACTGTGCTGAACTGCTGGCTCAAAAGCTCGGGGTGTGCATGGCATGCAGTGCGTGAGGGCGTTGAGCGTGGAGAGTGTGGGGGTGCGTGCGGGCTGCTCGTAGTAGGGCGGCTGGTTGCAGGACTGTCCCGGGTCCTAGCTCAACTACCGACCTTTGCACGACTCAAAGGGCCACAGGTGCAGCAAGCAGATTGCAAACATGATGACAAACACCGGGTATCTGCAAACCTCGTTTCCACTCTTTTGTACGGTTTAGGATCAGCTTTTTGATCACCAACTTCCAAACATGCTCAGCCTCTTGAGAGGCTGCACCTCTACATTACCTTTTCATTCACCAACACCTACCAACACTTGTGCGCAGTTCTCTTCAAACAAAATCGTCTTGCAAGGGGGATGTCACTTCCAAGATCTGCCTGTCTAACGCATCAAGGTGTGTCTTCTCTTGTTCGGGCGATCAACCGAGTCAGAGCACTTCGCCGCACTTTCGCCGCGAAGTGGCAACCTGTTTGTGCATGATCGGGTTGCACGCATGGGTCCAAGTTTGGTGCACCCAAGACTCCGCCTGGGGGGAGACAATATCATGCTGGCAAAAAGGAAGAACAAACGCAAACACAAAACAGGTTCCTTGCAAGGTTTTTGCAGCTGCTTCACTGTTCCCCCCGCCACTTTGAGACGGTTCTGCGACAGTTCTGCACACATGCCTACTGGCGTGGATTCATTTGGGCGGGGCATCTGACTGCAGCTCCAGGCGTGGCTCAAGCGCCAACAAGCGTGGACGTGCAAAGCCCATCGTTGATCCGGCCGTGCCAGCCACCAGTAGCCGCTGGCCATGGCACAGGAGACGGGGCCTGGCGGAGCGCTGGGAATGCTGTGCTCATGAGGCATGCCTTTCTCAGTTGCCTTTCTTGTGAAACGCCAAGAACACCGATTCTTGACTCATGTGCAGCTGAGAGGCGTGAAGCCCTGCCAATCAGGCTGCCATCTGCCAATGAACTCACCTACAAGTAAGTAAGAAGCGGCGCAAAGGGTGGTGAGAGAATGTGCATGACATGATGCTTTGAGTGACCAAAGGTTTCTTACACCAAGTGATGGTGGAAGGGAAACGGCTTGCAATAGGCACAGCGCAGCGGATTCTAAATGCCTAAAGTGACAATGTTAGATCACATGAACATGTTGGCCTCGCAGCAAGTCCCAGGCCATGAGCTCGGTGCCCAGCAAGAGCCAAAGCTGCCCTGATGAAGTCAAATGCCTTGGTGTGGCAGCTTTCATCCAATAACAGTAGCACATGTTACCGCCGGGCGCAGTTAGAAATTAGGGACCTCATTCCACAAAGCACAGTTATCTTTTCTCTGCCTTGATGGTCACATGATGTCATATTTGAGCCGTGCTCGATCTCCACACATGCCGTACATCCCTGGATAGTTCGGACTGTGTAGCTGAGTAGTGCTGAGTGCCGGATTGACATTCGCAACCTCTGCGACCAAGAGGCATGGCACGTAAATCGGAGGACCCGCTTGGGAGCGGCAGATTGAAGCCTTACCGGTGACAAGCTGAAGCGTGATGTCATCAACACAGTGTGACCGAGCCGAGTCAGTTTGGCTGCCAGGTGACTGGGTGTCAGCTCCCGTCCGCGGACCCAAGCCACTGGCAAGCGCTCACCATCCCATCCTGCAAGCCTAGGTGGAGTCAAGCAAAACGTCACACCGCTCAGACAAAAACGGCCTGCGCAACTATGCACAGAACACGTACTGAAGTGTCTCACGGCCGAGGAGCAGAAAACATCTCTGCTGCACGCCATCGCTACAGGGCAACTCAGCACCAGTGAAGACTTGCCAAGGTCGCCTCGTTCCGTACAGAAAAGACGAGCAAGGAAAAGGAGGAGAGAGCAGAATTGGCTTGAGCTTGGGCTACTCAGCTCAGCCGACCATGACTATGCAAATCAATCTTCCCTTCACCCAATGATTGAGTGGGCCTGGAAGGGAGCTCCATCACATCCTCACTGCTCCCGTCAACCTGACATTTAGCGTGTGAGTTGCATAATTGCCTTGAGCATTGAATGTGACACTCTTCCCCAACTTCACACCGCTGAACTGCAAAATGGACAAGTTTGGCCACACTGGGATACTTTGCAACCAAGCCACTGCTGGCGACACAGTCAGTCTTCCGTCGCCCCGCGATCGAGCAAAGCTGCAGTTCTCCATTGCAACTCAGATGCAGTTGTCAGGTGATGCAAACGGTACTAAGTACTAAGTACTAAAGGCACTCCCATCATAGGAATCAGTCTCGGTTTATATGCATCATCCTACCAAGGTGCCATCATCCCCACAAAGGGGCACGGCCATCGAGAAGTCTCTTCTTGGCAAGGCCTGTCGAGAACACATGAAAACACTGCCAAACAGGAGGAGGGAAGTCACTAGATTCGATCGGCTTGGGTTCACACTCCATACTCACAGGGAGGGAGAAGGAGGGAGGGAGGGAGAGAGGGAGCGAGCGCGCGCGAGAGAGAGAGAGAGAACATTCGGGCCATGCTTGTCTTTCCATTGCCTCTGTCCCCGCTTTTGGGGCTGATGGCAAGCACTAATCACTCCGAATGTAAATATGGCCTTCCCTCCCAGCCCCCATTCACCTGCCACAAGAGCGGAGTCGCTCGACCAGCCAGGTCAGATGATTGATACCTGGGGGCAGGTTGTACAGTTGTACCGAACTCAAGCTTTGGTATGTGGATTGTATGACCGCTAAAACATGCCCACATAATCTCTGGCCAGGTGGCATCGCGAAGGCCGTTGCTGCGAGGACACGTGTGCCCGCGCAACTCAGCATATCTGGACGGAAGAAGTGACCTGGCCATCGCGTAGCAAAAAGCTACTAGGACTAGGAGCAAAGGGCATCGCTACTAGGAGCAAGGACGCTACTAGGGGCTCCTGGCCTTA